AACGTGAATATAAATTTCTAGGTAGAATGTCCTACGGAAATATTATGACAAAGGTGGAAGCATAAAACGACGCTAATAAGATTAACTTTTAACGTTTACATCTTTCCTGACATTGCGCAAAATTCCCATTTCAAGGTTGCGCATCGCATAAACATTAATTAGTCAAACGCAACAAAACATGTTTTTTGTTTTTGTTTTTTTATTCATGGTTGACTCGTATAGTGAAAATCTATCAACTTGATGACAAAACCTTGTCGAAACGTTGTACATTTGCTGTTATGTTAAACTTGTATTAAAGTTTTTCTTCATTACCCATTCCAAACCGTCTCCAACCATTATTAAACACCGAAATTATCGAGATGTTTAAACATTCAATATGTATGATAGTGTTTAAGTACTGTAATAACACTAAAATCTGTTTCTTGGTTGTGTTTGTGAGCTGCACTTTAAATTCGTATTATCATAATGTTTCAGGAAGGCGGATAGTATTTATTCCTACCGTTACCTACCTGTACTCTCGAAACACGGATATCTCGACTGAGTAACGTATGCTGATGGAGAAAAAGAACGAGCCTTTTCACCAAGATTTGGACTTAAAAAACTTTCTTGAAACATCTGTAAAGGTGGACAATACTCTTGGCAAAGATAGCCTTCTTCCGGAGACGTCGGCGACACTTTCGGGAAGAGCAGTCCCTGGAGCATGGTTCCACGGCCGCGAGGAGGGACGTTATTCGATTCATCGCGTAGAACGCCGCTCCCACAGGATTGTCGAGCCAGTTTCAGATAGTGAACCAGTACATCACTGAACACACCATATGGTGAGTAGGTTGGCCAGCCCAGAGGCCAACACTTGGGGTAGATAACTGTGGAATGCTCGGGCGCTGTTGATCCTTGAGCTGTATAAAAATAAGCATCTAATGTTCTATTAAAAATGCACGTGAAAAATACCGAAAGCAACACAGACTCAAACGATTGATTTCACTTTAAAAGCAGACGTTCAATCCGCCCCGCCTTCCCCTCTATTTTGAAGAAGGGGGGAAGGTGGAGGAAATATGTTTTAAGGTAAAATCATAAATAATATTCAACGTTAAAATTGGTACACAATTAAAAACATTTTATTTAGACCTATCTATGGCCTTCAAAAAGTTGACGACTCTACATGTTTCGACGTTACAACGTCATCCTCAGAAGTTTATACAAGTTTATGCCAAAATACTACAATTATGTTTTAAGGTAATTTTACATATCTAGAATATGTTAAAACAATGAAAAAATCTTGTTATATAAGTGTCTAATAAGGTTTATTCCTTTGACAGATTGTTCAGGCAGAGTACTCATGATGTTAAAACAATGAAAAAATCTTGTTATATAAGTGTCTAATAAGGTTTATTCCTTTGACAGATTGTTCAGGCAGAGTACTCATGATGAAACTTTGTTGAATGGACGGCAACTGCCTGTTGTAGAAACACGAATGAAGAGGACGACGTTTCGAAAGTCTTCCGCCTTTCGTCTTCAGGTAAGTTCCGGATTTGAGGTGAGTAACCTGTGGCTACCATTGGTTGAATCTACAGTAAATCTCTCCTCCAATCACAAACGGGGATAAACCAACCGATCATAATAAGCTCTCCACAATTCACCAGAATACTGTAAAGACCGACAACATCATACACACACACACTGACCTAATGACGAAAGACGTTCGAAACGTCGTCCTCTACACTCGTGTTTCTACAACAGCCAGTTGCCGTCCATTCAACAAAGTTTCATCAAGGTTTATTTTATTCCCTTGCTATATTTTACGTCTACCGCTTTCTTAGGTCAAAGCTACACAATGGACTATCTGCACTCTATCTACCGCAGGGTATCGAACCCCAGATTTTAGTACTGTAAGTCCGTAAATTCACCGTTGACCGAACGGAAGGCGAAGGTTTATAAGCAACGTTTTCTTTCAAATAGTTCACTGAAATGTCACAAAGCAAGTATCTTAAAAAAGTTGCTTTATGGTATTAGCAAGTATATATAAATTATAAGAAAGAGAGAGCAAACTAGAAACGACGAACGCCAGAACTAAGAAAAACAAAACGTTGAAAGGGGTTAAACCCCGAGACAGCCAATCTGCACTGAGCTTTCTTGATTTTGCGTATAACGGGCCAATAGCGAAATTACCTCAAGCCCTTATTTATAATAGCCACAGTGAAAGGTGAGTTGTACATGTATGGGCGTAATTTTAACGATGGACGCGGGGGACATGTCCCCACATTTTTTCAAACCAAAGTTACGTCACTATGTACATGTATAGGTTTGTTTTCTCCCACTAGGTAAGATTGAAACTGTGCAAAGAAGTGTAACACTGAGGAAAATGTTCTTGCTACGCTGTACTCCAGAATTTACAAATCATAACACGTGTAACACTGGGGGAACATTTTATTGTTACACTGTATTCTGGAACTTACAAATCATAACACGTGTAACACTGGGGAACATTTTATTGTTACACTGTATTCTGGAACTTACAAATCATAACACGTGTAACAATGGGGAACATTTTATTGTAACACTGTATTCTGGAACTTACAAATCATAACACTTACAATACCGTCATCTTCACGTATTTTACTTTAGAAGAAGCTAATCTCTAGGCCACGCCCGACCCTTTAGCAAAACTCTGGTTTATATAAAGTTTTCCTAAAACGCAGTAGAACCTAAAACATTGAAACTCGCATGGAAACAACTTCCATTTGAAGGTTATAATGTTTCGCGTTCTGTTAAATTTTGGAAAATCTTTATATAAAGGAGACTTTTACTAAAGTGACGGGCGTGGGCTAGAGATTAGCGTGCTGGGGTTGTGAGTCCGAGAGTTTAATGTTCGCGTCCCATTGCCGTACAAACGCGTTCCGCATTTACGCTTACGTCTAAGACATCTGTCAAACCCAACGAATGGGGATGTTTTATTGCCTTCATGGCCATTATATAAAATCTGAAATCACGATGTAACGTTCAAAATTTTTAAACAACTTAGGGGGGGGGGTGGATAATACACTCGGTTATTACTTTGGCTTCAATCCAAGGATTCAAAATCCGCAACCAATTGCCACAAAAATGGGGTGTGGGTGCGCTATTAGAGTACCGATCAAATCCCACTATTCGTTCTTACAAAAGTAACGCAATAGTTGGCGGTGGGTGCTGTTGTTGACAAGTTGCCTGCCTGTTAGTCTATCACCTCAAAATTAGGGACATAGTGTATTCCTGGTACAGTACTTGGAGATTGGAGTAACATAGCGTATTCCTGGTACAGTACTTGGCGTTTGGAGTAACATTTATGTATTGGTGCTTGTAGTTTGTAATAACAAGCAACATTTCTATGAACTCATAGAGCTTGGAATAAACTAATATACATGTATTGTGGATGTAATATACAGATATTATACCTATAACCCTTTAAGTACTTAAAACGATTTTTATTCAGGTAATGGTGTGGTTTTATAAATGATGGGACAGGTTGTCTATTTGATGGTCAATTGGGATGTATGCATCTGTGAACAATGCTTATTCAGAGCATTGTCAGACCTAGAACACTAATCGTTGTGTCATCAAGATTGGACACTTTGAACAAGAAGTGACTTTCCTCTTTAAATAAAAGTAAGTTAGCACATGGTCCACTTCCTTTGGGGTTCTACATCTGATTAATTGAATCCAGAAGCTCCTTCGTCAATGAGTGAAATTGTCTAAATCATCTGTTGTTGTTGTCGACGAAACTGAGAATCCAGCCTTCCATATTAAAGCGTCATCTTTTCGTTGTTGTCGACGAAACTGAGAATCCAGCCTTCCATATTAAAGGTCATCTTTTCGTTGTTGTCGACGAAACTGAGAATCCAGCCTTCCATATTAAAGTGTCATCTTTTCGTTGTTGTCGACGAAACTGAGAATCCAGCCTTCCATATTAAAGTGTCATCTTTTCGTTGTTTTCACGAAACTGAGAATCCAGCCTTCCATATTAAAGTGTCATCTTTTGTTGTTGTCGACGAAACTGAGAATCCAGCCTTCCATATTAAAGTGTCATCTTTTCGTTGTTGCTCAACTGTGAGTAAATCGTTTTTGTTTTGTTTTATTTCGTTGTAAAACAGATTAGTGTTAGCCTCTTTTGTTTAGTCAAGTCTAAATTAAGCAAACTCTTCATGGTGGTCTTCATGCTTACCTGTCGTCAGTTTTACCTGGGTATATTGACTATGACACCTAGAGCTTGAATAAACACTTGCAGTAGGTACTCAGTACTTGGAGTATGGAATAAGTAGTTAACCGGATAATATCTTATTTCTCTCATAAAAGAAATACTGAATAAAAGAGAAGGAAAACACGTGTCTCATGTTTGATTCTTTCATAATAAACTCCTGTCAAATGTACAATTCAAAAACATAAATAGAAAACGTCGCACCTAAACCAACTTAATAATAAATAATTCTGTATTTGATTAATCTGCTATTCATTTTTCTTAGGTCTGGTGTTTAAGGCGCTCGACTCGCAATCTGCAGGTCGCGGGTTCGAATCCTCGTCACTGAACATGCTTGCTCTTTCAGCCGTTATAATAAGACGGTTAATCCCACTTTTTGTTAGTAAAAAGTCGCCCAAGAGTTGGCTGCGGATGGTTTTGACTAGCTGCCTTCCCTCTAGTCTATCTCTGCTAAGTTAGGGACGGCTAGCGCAGATAGCTTCCGTGTAGCTTTGCGCGAGATTCCAAATAAATCAAACCATTTTTCTTGTTGCAAATAACGAGCCACAAACAGCCGTATTTATATACCCACTAAAATACAGCGAAACGGTAAGAAATACGGTCGACACTCAATATATTTATCAGAAGAGAGAGAAAATGTATTTTTTTTTTTTTGTTCAAAAGAGACCAGGCGGCTATCGTCGTGCTAGACTATGAACCCAAGGATCTTTGGTTCGCCTCTCACTGCTGCAATATCGCGTTCCGCACTTAGGGAACATTAAGAGCGTTATACTGTGACGGTCAAATCTCACCATTCTATCAGAAAAGAGTTGTCGGAGGGTTCCTTTGAGTTGTTGCCTTCTCTCAACTCTCTCACTTTAAAATTACGGACAGCTAGCACAGATAGTCCTCGTGTAGCTTTGTGCGGATATCCGAAACAAACTTTTCAAAGGTCTGTAACTAATAATAAAAAAAAAGCGGAGGGGGGGGGGGAGAGTACGAATAGAAACCACAAAAGAAAGAAGATTAAATGAGAGTAAGAAAGGAATAATAATGTACAGAAGAGTTACAAAATATCACAGAGAGAGAGAGAGAGAGAACTATTGTGGAAAATGAGAAATAAAACAATTTAAACAATTTGTCTAAAGGTTTCAGGTGAACAGAATATTGGACCCATTGTTGAGGATGCCCACTAAGCCTACCGTTATAAAAATGAAAACGGTGTTTTATCATACTGTTCATACAGTCTCTTTCTTAACAACTACTTACCAAGTCAGGTTTGTTTTAAACCCCTATATCTATGCGACTCCCCTTTTACCAGTGACAAGTTTTCACTACGGGCTTACTTTTAAAATTAGGGAACGGCTTGTTTTAAACCCCTATATCTATGCGACTCCCCTTTTACCAGTGACAAGTTTTCACTACGGGCTTACTTTCAACATTAGGGACGGTAAAAGCCGATAACCCTCGACTAGTTTTGCGCGAGGCTGAGCAAGGAAACGAGTAATGCTTTTTTGGGTTATATAAATACCAGTAAAACACCGAACGAAAAATGGCAGGAAACTGACCTAATTTTTTTTTTTTTTTTTTTTTTGTCAGCTTCTAGCTAATTCATCTAATTCATTTATTTGGAGTGTTAAACTAATTTTACGAGCCGATCAAAAAGTACTTATGAGAAAACACGATAAT